ACAATCCTTTAGAGAGTAGCTCTTACTATTCAATATTCACTCGTCACACTATGGACAACTCAAGCAAGGGCACTTGACTCTTGAAGCGCAGCGAATGTTTTTTCCATGAAGTTAGCTGTCGCACGCAATGAGCTCCCCTAATACGGGGTGCTCACTATGGACGGGATCGGCCGACGGGGCCGATCGCCCGACTCGATCGCCTCAAAGTTTTCAGTTTCAGGCGATCGAGTCGGGCGATCGGCCCGATCCAGCCGTAGTGGGCACCACGTATAACCCTACTCGAAATTCGAAACGCTATGAACGGTGATGTGATGTCAACACATTGCACTGTCTGCGCGCACGCGACAACAACACACGCGCGCTCAGTGACTGGCGTTGAACAGCGCAAGTTAGATCTGGACTATCACAATATAAGAAAAAAACTATTCGACGGCGCTGTGAATAGCGAAGTTAAATCTGGGCTTATCTTATATAATAAAAAAAAACCCCATTCGGCGGCGCTGTGAACGGCGGAAGTTAGATCTGGGCTTGTCACATAATATAAGAAAACTAGCTGGGTCCCCTTTCGGTGAAAGGAATGATCGGTCCATTAACATCAACGATATTTACACTCTACTTGAATGGAGCAATAAATCTTGAGAGATGCAAAAAATTTGGTCTAGATCTAGATCTATACTCTCAAAACAAAATGCGCCTCGCCAAATATCACTTCCGCACCGGATTTTCTAAAATTACAGAGAGAGAAGCGTCGGCCTACAATAGCGATCGGCAAAATAAAGAAATATAGCTTTTTGCAGCAAAACTGTCTCAAAACTGAAAAAAGGAAAGGCGTCATGATCTGGAGAATATCTTAAAGAATTTTTTGGCGAAAACTGCATGTCAATCGATGCAGCCATTAAAAAGCCTTTTGAATAGCAAAATTCGGCCACCACAAATAGATACGATTCGACGTCGCTTCGAATTGCGGAAGTTAGATCTGGGCTTGTCATATATAAGAAAAATAAACCATTCGACGGCGCTGTGAGTAGCTAGCAAATGTAGAATAGCAGAACTTAGGTCTGGGTTTATGCTTATCATATTAATTATATTTGAAAAAAACATTCGACGGTGGTATTCGAAAATCATGAATAGTGAGCTCACGCTTCGAAGCTTCGATGATTTTTTGTTTCTTCAAAATCGCACAGTACAAGTAGATACCCCCATTTCCATGAAATTTTGTGAAGATTTTCATTTCATCGTTCTCTTTTCATTTCTTTTAAAACCAGGGATGTGTTATGTGAACTGAAGAGGAAAGCGTTCTCTGAGTGAGTTTGATATATTTTTTACTCAAACATAGTCTAGTGCCGAACTTTTATTTTGTTGAAGAACAAACAGCAATTGTCACCAAAAGTCTTTCTTCTAAAGAAAAGGTTGTAGGCCAAGTACTACAGTGTACTAATTAGGAGCTTCAATTTTAACCTTTCTATGAGCGGGTGGTTGGCAGGTGCTTTGGTGTTGTTTGCTCTTTCTTTCCTATCAAACATTGATCCCGCCTTCATTTTTGTGTGTTTGTTACTCTCTTGTAAGACATCAGTCTTCGCTTATATGACATTTTTGTGTTGCTAGTGCCGTAAAACTGTTACTAAAACGAACCCTTTTGTCTGGGATGTAGAGCCACACACAGCCACTGCCGGCCCTTACAGGCTGTATGTAAATGTGTAGTCCTCTTTGTTTGTGTCGATGGAATGCAAAACGTTTTTTATCATTCGCCAATGGCGGCTTAATGGGAAGGACAGACAGGAAAATATTTTGAGGTCATTTTGATAAATAAGTAGCCCCCTCTACACACACATACACACCAAAGCACAAATGGTCGTTTTTAAGAACAAGCGGGCTAACCCAGATTTAGGGGGTTTCCAGAAATCTTGAACAGCACCAAAAGTGGGCATTGCCCTACCTGTAGAAGAAGTTTGGTTTCATTGGTGTGTATATTCCGGTTGTAGTCCAAGTACTGCAGTGGCGACGTGGCTTTTACAGATCTCTGTATTTTGGACACATTTTTACGCTTACTCAATTTTTACACGGTCTTGTGATAACTTATTTCTTACTATGGATCTTAAGTCTTTCAGTTGTGCCATATTTCTTGTGTTTTTGATTGTTTTGAGTGTGTCAGTGCAAATTCACCAGTGCAGTATGTTGAGTGAAGCTCCACCATTGAGACAGACCTACAGTTCAGCCATGTCAAAACGCCAAAGACTGGCAGGCAGAAACAGTGTTTTTATTGTCGTTCTACCCCGTGAAATAAGACCACGTAAACGGGGAAGGAAGGGAGGAGTACGTTTCAGAGCGAGAAGAAGAACTTTTAAACCGTTTTTACCTACTATCTTAACTGGTAATGCAAGGTCACTAAACAATAAAATGGATGAACTCTGTGTAAATGTTAGGTTTATGCACGAGTATAGAGAGGCCTCGCTTATTTGTTTCAGCGAGACGTGGTTCAAGGACAGTATTTCTACCAACAGTGTGGACATTGACGGATTCCATCTAGTACGTTGTGACAGGACGATAGACAAAGAGCGAGGCGGAGGAGTGTGTGTGTGCGTGTGTGTGTGTGTGTGTGTGTGTGTGTGTGTGTGTGTGTGTGTGTGTGTGTGTGTGTGTGTGTGTGTGTGTATGTGTGTATGTGAACGAGAAATGATGTAGTCGTAATGTAATTCATGTTAAACTCCAACTGTGTACACCTGATATTGAATGTCTAACTGTTGTTACTCGCACGTACTATCTACCGAGGGAATTTTCTAAGAAAACAACCAACATTGTTTATATTCCACCACAAGCCAATGTTAAAGTTGCCACGAACACTTTGGTCGAAATGATTCATGAACAACAGTCTTCTTGTCCTGACGGTGTACACACTGGGGATTTTAACAAATGCTCTTTAACTTCTGCGATCCCCCCGTTCCACCAATATGTTAATGTACCAACCCGTGAGGACAAAACTATTGACCGTTGTTATGTAACTGTTTCTAATGCTTTCAAATGTATCTCTCTACCTCCAATAAGAAACTCTGATCATTGCATGTCTCTTTTATTACCGAAGTACAAACCTAAATTAAAATCTTCAAAGCCAATTTAAAAAGTTGTCACCATCTGGAGTGAAGAAAACAGGGAGAGCCTGAGAGGTTGCTTTGAATGTACGAATTGGAATGTATTTAAAGATTCATGTAATAGAATAGATGAATTATGTGAGACTATCGCTGGCTGCAGTCATTATTGGGACCTCTATGCGGTGCTGCAGACCCCGGAACAAGTACAGCTCCGGGCCGAACGCCAATCAACCCCTGGATTCAGACAGGAACGGAGGCGACCGAGTTTTTGTCCGGAGGCTCAGCCGAACCGGCTGATCTGAGTCTCCTGTTAAAAATGGCCGGTGACGTCGAAATCAACCCTGGACCTGATGAGATGCACCCATGCACAATATGCAACAGGAACGTGACCAATCGGGGTTACTCGATCCGATGCACCACCTGTGCCAAATGGATACACAGCAAATGCAGTGGTCTATCAATCCCAGAAATTCGAAGTCTCTCCCACAACCACGCTTGGACTTGCCCGGCCTGCTCCGTGCAGTCCCCTATCCGAATCGGCTCCCTTATACCCCAACATTCCCAACATTTGCGTCGCAATGCGCCTACCGGAACACAAACACAACCACCCCAACTGTCGCGAACTCAGTCACAGCCAATCATCCAATGGAACGCCAACGGACTCAACACCGAGAAACGCGCCGAACTGGCAAAGTTGGGAGAAGAACGTGATATTGACATTTTTATCATTTAGGAAACAAACTTTAAACCAGATTTTATCCCGCAAGCCATCAGGGCTTCGAGGTAAGATGAGAAGGCCTGCGTTTCGCGCCGCTAGTTACTTTTGGCTGAGTTCTCTCACCGTGCGGTCACGCCTCGTGTTTCTCTTGGATTAAAATTTATTTTTTGTTCCTGCGGGTTTTGGTTTGTTAACCTTTTTCTAAGATTTCCTGTTTGCCTGGGACTCACGTGAGTAGGCTTTCTTTTTCAAAGACGTGAACAAATTTGAAATAATATTTACAAACACGTCCGTAATAGAGACAGACGAATTCCACTTGGTAGATTTTGACTTTGAAGACGACGATTGTACTGGGCCAGGGGAAAATAAGAAACCGGCTCAAAACGAAAGTCCGGTATCAGAACAAAAAGGACCCGATAATGATGGGAATCAAATGCCTGGGGTACAGGCAAATCTTTTGTCTGCTATCGAGATGCAGACAAAGCTATTAACATTTTTTTAAAAAGTCGAACAAAGTATCTGGCAAAATAAGAGGACGAAAGAAATCAAGGTATGAAAATTCCTCTTCCTCTTCATCGTCATCTGCTTCTTTATCATCTTCGCCACCCTGTTCCCCAATAAGAAAGAAACAAAAGAGAAGGGTTCATTCTCCTTCACCGAAACGGTGCACTCCAACCCTCCCCCGCTCTCCTTCGTCCTATTTTCCATCTCGCGCGGTGCATGAGGCCGGTGAAGGTCAAACGTGACCGAACTGACCGCTCCGTTTCCCCCAGAGAGGTTGAAACATCAGCGGATGAGATGGAGAAAGAAATAACGGGTGCGCAAATTTAAACGCCGCGGATTATAATAGTACTTGTAGGGAAAACCTCTTCGAGGACGCTGAGGCAGAATTGTTGCTGGAGGATGAAGTGGGTCCACCCATTTCGGACACATTAGCAAAGTTTGTCGCCAATCGTTTCCAAAAGAAATTAAGCGACAACATTCTGAAGAAAAAAATAGGGGAATACAAACAACCATCCAATTGACCTCAGCTATCTGCTCCGCAGACAAACAATTTCATATGGAAAGCCCTCCAGGCACCATACCGTCGAAACGATGCGCGCCTTAGAAACGCACAAACCAATATTGCCAAGGTCGCCACGGCAATTGATAATATCCAACAAAGAAATGAGAGAGATCTTGATTTTCAATCGACCATGGGGCACCTTTTGAATGCCTTGTCAATCATGGGACACACGCATCAGCATCTGACAGCGTTCAGAAAAGATGCTCAGCGCTACGCGCTTCCATATGATTACAAAGGAGTGTGTGATGTCGAGGCTGGAAACAGCAAACTGCTTTACGGAGAGGATGTAAAGAAAACTCTCCGAGAAGCGAAAGAAGAAAAACGATTGGCTTCCAGCCTCACACAAAAAAGCAGTTACACTGCAAAATCATTTAACAAAGGCAAGTCTTTTTTAGGAAGACAGAAGCCCTTCGAGCAAAAACAACAAAAGGGTCGCCAGTTCCAAAAACGCCCTTTTCGACAGATGGGACAACAGTTCCGCAAAAAGCAAAAATAGTGGAAGAAAACCCTCAGGTAAGTGAAAAGGTCATGAACGACAATAGCTCTGTAGCAATTGACTGTCTCGTAGAAGAAATGAATGCTTTCCAAGCAGGTCAAATCAAAGACAAGATATCAGAATGGCGGACACTGACATCTGACTCTCAGATCCTTGAAATGGTACAAGGAACAAAAATTGACTTTAGCTGTGAAAGTGCACAACCATATTATTGCACTAATCAGAGCATTTCCTTTACTCAAGAGGAAATGACAGCTATAGACAAAGAAATATCGAACCTTTTACACAAGAAAGTTATAGTTGAAACCTTGCACGAACAAGGTGAAGTTGTCTCTGGCATCTTTACGAGAGAAAAACAAGATGATACCTTCCGGGTGATTCTGAATTTGAAAAATTTGAACAAGAACTTAGTTTACAAAAAATTCAAAATGGAAACCCTAAAGTCTGCGCTCACCCTGCTTAGTCCAGGCTGTTTTATGGCTAGCATTGATTTAGTTTCGGCTTACTACAGTGTCCCCATAGCAGCAGAACATCAGAAATTCTTGAAAATCCAATGGAAAGACAAACTGTTTAAATTTACTTGTTATCCTAACGGCTTGGCTCAAGCGCCATGCAACTTCACAAAGCTTACCAAACCCACATTTTCCCATCTTCATAGTATCGGTCATGTCAGTACGAGCAAAGATAGTACAAGACAAGATGGGCCACTTCTCTCTTTGAGCCAATTAAAAAAGTGTCCTCAAAATTTGGTGGCGCCCTCTTCACAAAAGCGCACTCTTTGCGAACAGAGTTACCCTACTTGAGTTTTAAAAAATCAAAGTGAAACTAGCAAGTTTTGGGATAAATTTCGGAAGAACGCTTTTTAAAAATGATTACGCTGACAAAAAACCTCTTCCGGAGGAAAAGGAGATGGTTTTCTTCGTTTAATTTGACTTTAGAATGAAGGGCGAGAGGTCATTAAAATTCTAAAAAACCTAAAACTCCGCACTGAACATACCCGAACTGCTGATGAACAGCAGTCGATCTGCGCACGCAAGGAGGTGCTATTCCTATTCTTCTTCTGGAAAAACGAAAGAGAGCTTCAAAACAGACTGCAGCGCCATCTGAAGCAAAGAGCATACTTCCTGCGGACACTTTTTAGGCTGAGTGGCCCATCTTGTCTTGTACTATCTTTGGTACGAGTTATCTCGACGATTCATTGCTTGTGGGAAACACCGAAAAAGAATGTGAGAAGAATGTGTCAGATACAGTTTCCCTATTTAATCGGCTGGGTTTTGTGGTTCACCCACACAAATCGTCATTCAACCCCTCTCAGAGAATTATATATCTGGGGTTCGAAATTGACTCAGTCACAATGACTGTTTATCTGTCAAAAGAAAAAAGGGAACGAGTAGAAAGGCACTGCAAGGCATTCTTACGAAGGTCGGCCCATCCCGTACGAGAAGTAGCTCGTCTAATCGGCTTACTAGTATCACGTTTGGCCCCGCCCACTACAGATGCCTAGAAAGGGAAAAGGTGCAGGCAATTAAGAAAACTAGAGGAAATTGGGATAGTGTGATGCAGTTGTCGAGAACGGCACTGGAAGAAGTTAAGTGGTGGTACCAGCACGGATTGTCTAGTGTTTCCCCGATTTCTCGCCCGGATATCCGGACCTAGTAATTTTCAATGGCGCGAGCCTCTTTGCGTGGGGCGCTGTGTGCGGAAATGAGAAAACAGGGGGGGGGGGGGGCGTGGACAGTAGAAGAGAAAGAACCTCGTATCAATGAATTAGAACTATTAGCTGCTTTCTTGGCTTTAAGATCCTTTTCCAAAGGGCTAAAAAACGCAGTCATCAGAATCTTTGTTGACAATACCGCAACCATGGCTTGTTTGAACAAAATGGGATCCTCCAAATCCCTCTCACCAGATAATTTATCAAAGAAAGTCTGGGCATGGTGTGAAAATAAAAACTTGTAGTTATCAGCAACATGAATAGCTGGGAAAGATAATGTAGATGCGGACGGACAAAGAAAGTAGAACAATCAACATTGACACAGAATAGATGTTGAGCGCATCTCTATTGAAATCTTCACTTTCAGTGCCACAAATTCAAACCAGACATTGATCTTTTTGCCTCCCGGCTAAACAAACAATTTCCAAAATACGTATCCCACAGAGCAGTTCCCGATGCTTTATCGCTCGATGCTTTTACAATGAACTGGAAGGGTTTAAAATGGTATGCTTTTCCACCTTTCTCTCTCATATCCAGAGTCATACAAAAGGTGAAGAAGGGCGAAGCAGACGGGATCATCGTAGCAGCATGCTGGCCCACACTGCCTTTTTTCCCTCTGCTGATGCAAATCCTCGTCGAAAAGCCAGTCCTTCTATCTGCAAGAGAAAATTTTCTCCACCTACCAAGCAGTCCGGACCAGAAACATCCTTTGCACTAAAAGCTTCGCTTGCTAATATGCAAAGTGTCAGGGGAAAATACGAAAGCGAAGGCTTTTCTGGAGCTGCAACCGACCTTCTCATGTCCTCATGGCGAAATGAAACAAAGAAGGCGTATCACCGATACATTGAAGACTGGAAGCGGTACGCGGTCCTCCAACAAGTGGATTCAATTTCGCCGCCATTAAACGTTGCACTCAATTTCCTTGCTACATTAGTCACGGAAGGGAAATCGTACTCTGCTTTATGCATTGCAAGGTCTGCCCTGGCATGTTATATCAACGTGGAACATTTTTCAGAATCTTTTGGTAACCTGCCTCAAGTTAGGAGATTTATGAAAGGAGCTTTTGAATCTAGACCTAGTCTGCCTCTAAAAAGCAGAGTAGCCACTTATGTAAACACAGTACTTTCTTTTCTAGAAACATGGTACCCCCATGAAAGCCTCACTTTAAAAGAACTGTCCTTAAAGCTCGTCATGTTGTTGGCCCTCCTGTCCGGACAAAGGTGTCAAACTTTGTATAAATTAGACACTAACTACATGACTTTGAAATCAAACAAATGTATATTTTTCATTTCAAATCTGTTGAAGCATTCTCGAAAGGGTTGTCACCAGAAGCCTCTAGAATTTTTGGCATTTGAAAATTGCCCACAGCTTTGCATCGTAGAAATACTGACTGTGTATTTGAAAATGACAGGAGAGCATAGGAAACACAACAACACAAGTCGTCTCCTGATCAGTTTCAAAAGGCCACACTTGCCCATAAGTAAGGACACATTATGCAGATGGATTAAATCTGTTCTGGACCTGGCAGGTATTGACACTGCATTCTCTGCGCAGAGCACTAGCTCTGCGAGCACATCAGCTGCCCCTGAAGCAGGTGTCCCACTCACTACAATTTTAGAGGCAGCAGGCTGGACGCAAGAGAGTACCTTTACTCGATTTTACAAAAAGCAAGTAAAACACAACTTCGGACAACGTCTGCTAGACACATACTTTTCAAAATCCACATGACTTATTGCATTTATTGATCGGACATTATATATCAATATCTATACATGTATTATACTGGCATCATTATTACAAAACGTGTAAGGATTGAAATATTCTGTATGTTAATCACCGTACTACGGTTTTGCTTTGGTTCATTGGCCGTTACTGGTCACCACTCTGTACATATTATCATCCCATGACAAGGCATGGTGGGAAAATGATTCTTTCCTTCATGCAGACTAAAACTGATTTATTGCATTGAGCAGTTGGACTTTACAAGTCTATGCTGTGTATAATATTGTCACTGCAATTCATAAAGTTGAAGGATGTTTACTTCATTTGAATAGCTCATGTTTACATTGCATTAGTTGATGGACAGAGTACATGCGCCTTATTTGTGTATAATTATCTCATCACAAATCAGGGAGGACAAGGTTTCTTTATTTCATGCAGCATGAAACTGATTATTACACTGATAGATTGGACATTACATGTCAACTTTATACGTACGGTATCATTATCTCATCACTTGTTTAGTGGAAGAAAACTCTTTACTTATGCAACAAGAAGTAAGATAATTCCATTTAATTAAAAAACGATTTGACATTACTTGTCTATACCTCATACCACTATCTCAACACAATTCATGGCGTTGGAAAATGTTTTACTATTTTCAGTGTTACTGATTTGTATAAATGGACTAGACATTGCATGTCCCTTTTTCTTCTTTTAACTTTATTCCGCATGCATATGATTTATTGCATTTAAGTGTTCTGCATATTACGCATGCAGATATCATTACTATGTCACCACATATCATCTTGAAAGAAAATTCTTTACTCATATATTCACAATGTTATTTGGATTATCAGCTAAACAGCAAATAAACACTCATGATGATTTACAAATTGTTTTACAAACATATTATTCTTATTATGTGACAATGTTCTCTTTGGCTTTGCTTGAAAGGCAGTTGTCCTAATTCGGTTTAGCGACTCGATATTCACATTCTGGCTCTAAAGTCTCATCTTACCTCGAAGCCCTGATGGCTTGCGAGATAAAATTAAAGAAACATGCGATCTTACCTGGGTAAGTGTAGCTTGTTTCTGATTTTGTCGAGTAAGTCATCAGGAGCTGAGTGGGAAGATGCCCACCCTTTCCCTCCCTTTTGAGACAAAGTCAAAGCATTCCATGCTTTAATTTGAGAAAATGTCAAAAGCATTCCATGCTTTATGATGACAAAATTGGGAATGTGACTATCGTGATCTAAAGTGTGACTAGCGGCGCGAAACGCAGGCCTTCTCATCTTCCCACTCAGCTCCTGATGACTTACTCGACAAAATCAGAAACAAGCTACACTTACCCAGGTAAGATCGCATGTTTCTTTAATTTTATCTCGCAAGCCATCAGGGCTTCGAGGTAAGATGAGACTTTAGAGCCAGAATGTGAATATCGAGTCGCTAA